AAAAAAAAAAAAAAAAAAAGCATCCAAGGCAGGCTGGGTAATCTTAACAAAAAGCATGTAGGAAATTAAAAACATTCCAGACTGATTTTTAAAATATCGATCGCTAAATATTAGTCGATATTTATTCGATTTTTGAAAGTTCTGCTCCTTGTTGGTGCTAGTGAGAGCCAGAAATGTGAAAAGTTTGATCTGTGACTAGAAACAAAAAGGAGGAAAAAAATCCGACTTTAAATGATTTATTTGCTCAAAAATGAAAACATATAGGCTAAACATGTAATTCAACACAACCATAACTGTTAGTATCTCAGCTTGTTAGAATGATCGATTTTAAATACATTTCACGGAAGAAAAAAAACCCGTGCAATTGGCTCTGCCTTTCATCATGCATCATGTACAGAAAAAAGTTTCTACTCATTCCNNTTTTTTTTTTTTTTTATCAGATCGTTAGAATTAATCTCTGCCATAGAACAAAAGCTTAGTCTATAAATATGCAATAACTTTTAACAGTGTAGGCTTTTGTCTGTTCTGTCATGCTTGAATGCCACGTGGATTTTTTTTTACTGCGTCTAGATGGAGAATTGTCAGACATTTATTGGCCTAAAACACACCTGACGATAATAATCAACTTGCAGTGTGTTAATGTCTTGGATAATGTGTGCACCAGGCCCATAGGCAGTGCACAGCGCCAGAGCCTCAAACCACAGCTACTATCCAAACTCCAAGCACAGGCGTTGCTTGAGCTGATCGATATGCTTTTGAGTGTTGTGTCCAAAGCAAATATTAAACGAGGCAGGTGGAGGAAATGTGGCACAAACGCAGTAAGTGTGGCAAACTAAACTTGGGCCTTCGGAACTGTTTTGACATACTTTGAGGAGTGTGGAGGGGGAGTTTGGCAGGTACACGTGAAAGCTGGCAATTTGCATGCCATCTGCGCGTCCACGGTGATGCAACGAACTTCCTCTCGTCCTGTTGACTTCATTTGTTCCGTTATTACTCTGTCATGTATGAAAAGTGTTTGCTAATGGAAGGTCTCTGCCTTTTTGAGTGAGTGTTTGTGCAGGTGCAGGTGCCGCAGGCCTGTGGCATGTTGCATTTTGCAAGTTGAGAAGCTTATTTGTGGAAAGCTCAGAGTCAGGTGCAACTGCAACTCTTCATCATCATTTAGCCAAATAGTTTTAAATGCAGATATAGATACAAAGGCCAGCACGCGTTTGAGCCACACTGTAAAAGAATTAAAGAATGCATTTTTACAATTCAGTGTACCGAACTAGGTGTGCATTTTAAATGTTCTGCTGTTATAACAAATTATCCTTTATTTTCAAGGGATCCCAGTATGAGCTGAAGGATAGTCCTGGTGTCCATCCTGCCAGCTTCGCAGCACACACATCTCCGGCCTTCTATCCATACGGCCAGTTCCAGTACGGGGACCCTGCCAGGCCCAAGAACGCCACCCGGGAGAGCACCAGCACCCTGAAAGCCTGGCTCAATGAGCACAGGAAGAACCCGTATCCGACCAAGGGGGAGAAGATCATGCTGGCCATCATCACCAAGATGACGCTGACGCAGGTCTCCACCTGGTTCGCCAACGCCAGGAGGAGGCTCAAGAAGGAGAACAAGGTGACCTGGGGAAGCAGGAGCAAAGAGGACGGCGAGGACGGTAACTTGTTCGGCAGTGGAGACGAGGCCGAGAAAAACGAAGACGAGGAGGAGATTGATTTGGAGAGCATAGACATAGACAAAATCGACGACAACGACGGGGATCAAAGCAACGAGGACGATGACGATAAATCAACGGAGGGGAGCAGGGACCACAGGGGCGGTGTCGGTGCAGGTGGAGAGTTGGACAGCTTGGAGAGGAGACGGGCCTTCGCCCTGCAGGCCCATGAGGCCTTTGACAAATCTAAGAGCACAATTTCAGTTCACCCAGGGAGTAAGGAGAACTCGGACGGCAACAACAACACCAGAGTTTTGTCCCCGGATAGACCCGGGAGCTTTCCTCTCCCGTCTAACAATAAGCCTAAAATATGGTCTTTGGCAGAGACCGCCACTAGTCCCGATAGTTCATCTCAGAAACCCACGTCTCCTTGTGCCCCAGCGGCCACCACTCACTCATCAGCGCCCCACCACCAGATTCAGACCCACCCGGCCTTCCTCCCCAGTCATGGACTGTACACTTGCCAGATTGGAAAGTTCCACAACTGGACAAACGGGGCTTTCCTGGGCCAGAACTCCCTGCTGAATGTGAGGTCGTTTCTGGGAGTAAACCAGCACCATCACCACCACCACCACAACCACCACTTGCCGGCCCAGCAGCAGCAGCAGCAGCAGCCGACTTCAGTGGTGGTGTCGCCGGTAGCAGCTGCAGCAGCACTCAGCAATGAAAGCAAGGCCCCGCCAGAGACACACAGTCCCAAGCACATAGGTAGGTAACGGTCTGTCCGCGTGCACGCGCACACACGTCACGTACAAGCGCTAAGCATTTATACCGAACACAACCTATGTATGTGTGTTACATTAGGGGTTCATCTACCCTGCTTCTTTTTCATCTAGAGTTATAATAAAGTGTGCACATGCATGCAGGCTACCTACACAATCCACAATGTCCATGCTACAACATGGGATTCATATTTAGTTAGACATATAGGCTATATATATATATATATATATATATTATCAAAAAAATATATAGGCCTTTATCAAACATGCCAGTGCTCATGAGTGTTTATTTCCTTGTAGACCATGAAAACGGTGTAAGGTCTGATTCACCTCCAACACAGACCCTGAAGTCTTCCTTTCGACCCATCCATGACAGGTGAGACACGTTTTTACTGTTTTGCTTTTGTGGATTGTTTGGAATCACGTCATTATAATATTACCAGTCCCAGCCTTAAAATGAATTATAAATGTAGAATGCTATAATTATTGCATTAGTCGATTTATGAACTGAGTTGGAATTTTTTTTTTCCCCACAGTAAAATCTATAATAGAATAATTAAAAAAAATAAAAATAATTAAAATAAGTAAAATGAAGCATGGACATGAACGTTGGGGTAGGCCCAGGATCATGATGAAATTATAAATACTGTAATTATCCAACCAATAAATACGGTTGTAGGGTATGTGTTTAACAAATTCCAGTATATAAACCTAAAGTTTATGTCTGACACTTTTTTTAGTTTTAATTTTATTTTTTTCTACACAAAACAACAATAATAACACTGCAAAATAAAATAAACAAAGATAAATAAAACACAGTTTGTTTTGCGGGTTACAGGGGTCTTGACTCCCATCCCACACCCCCTTTAATTCCTCCCCTCTGGGGAGAGTGTGGCTACTTATCAAGTCACCGAGTAAAACGGGCTCTGTCTGGGCTGTGTGCTTTCCCTAAAGACCCCTGGGAGACCCGGAGCCCAGGGGAGCGCTCTCACCGAGAGGGGAAAAAAAAGTTTACCTCTGTTTCAAGTATTACAAAATACCGCCTTCTTCCTGTATGACGGTTGCATAGCTGTCCATGCAACATGTATTTTGTAATATGTGCAGAGGTAAAGAAATAACAAGCATGCAAGTTAATTATAGATACATAAAGAGGATTTTATTTTTCCACATGCTACAATATGTTCGGGTTGTAAAAATACGAATTATGATTAATCTCCATATTATTATTATTATTATTATTATTATTATTATTATTATTATTATTATTGTTATATCAAGTGAGTGGTTGGAGAGGGGGACTGCAGTCTGTTTCAAATCAAAACTGTTCAGCCAGCAGACACTTGAGATGCATATTGAAACCCGCTGTCCAAACACGGCAGGGGTATTTATCTACCTTTCTGTATTATTCTTTATCCAGATCCTCTCTGCCTTCCAGCGCCAGGAGTCCACAAGACGCCACGCAACGGGTCCTCACTGCTCTCTCCTCGGCTTGATCAAGACTTTTATTTTTTCGTGCTTGAAAAAAAAAGAAAAGAAAAATAGAAAAAAGACTTTTCACTCCCTAAAAAGGACAATGACGAATAATAATGCAGCGTAGCATTCAGTCGGTACAGAACAAATGGCGTAATTTGGTAATATCCTGTGGATGGATGGATTACTTCCTCTATTGTTGTGTAGCCTATAATCGCGCCTATAATGTTACTCTCTCTCTCCACTTTGCCCAGGCAGGCTGGGACATTTTGGTAGGCTTTTTACTTTGTTATTATTATTATTATTATTATTATTATTAATATTATTATTATTATTTTTGTCTCTATCTTGTGTTTTTGGTGTCCTTTCTTTAATGTAAATACCAAGTGATTTAAATTTGTAAATAGGAAGCGTTGAAGGAATTTGTCCAGATCGTATATTTTGCCTAATAAACTAAATGAAATTATAGAGAAAACCCAAGAGTATGCTCAGCCTATATTTCTTTTTCACGTGGATTTAATGTTATTATTATTATTATTATTATTATTATTATTATTATTATAACAAATAATCATCTGGAAAGCCAATGTAGGCCTACTGCCGGTTTTCAAGAAGGGTGGGAATGGGAGAAAAAAAATATATTGGCAGTGTGCAACCAGGCTTAATTTTATTCAAGTTTGGGAGGAAAGCAGCGTGGATGCATTGAGGTGCTAATAAGTGTCCAGATGGTTGCTGGTGACAGAAAATGGACAGGAGCAGCTGGGAAGGTCATTAAGTAATAATATGGGAACGCCCAGTCCAAACAAAATCAAATGGTTAAAATCTAATCTGTCAGAGAGAGAAGTCGATTCGAAGATAAATTATTAATATTTTAGTTTTTTGTGTGTGTGTGTGGGGAGGGGAGGTAGGGGGGGCATTGTCAGCCTTGTGAAGCAGGGTCAGTGTTTGGGGTCCTGTCTGTTCCGTGGCTGATAGAGATCATTAGCCTATAAAAGCAGCTTCTTTGCTCCTCAATCGGTGACCAAAAGCAAATATTGATTTACCACAGCAGCCTAATGGGGTTTAAACAAAATAAGGGGGGAGGGAGTGCAATAATTAGCTGTGATGCGAGGTGATGTGAGCATCGTATTTTATCTCTTTTTCTGTTAATTCACCAGAGCTTAGTAATATATATATATCATAGTAAAAGTTAAAGTAACATTTCTTAACAACCCTCTGCACATGTAGCCTAACTGTTGTTTTTTTAGCTTTACCTGCTATGCTATTATTTTATTGTCTGGTTAAAAACTCCACATATGTTTTATTTTATTTTTAGTTAGTCCTGAAATGAGCTCAGTATAATCAGAGAAAACCTTCGTTATTTGAGTTAGGGCTCCTTTTTAAATGGCAGTAAGCTGCGAAGTGAGCTGTTCCAGAAGGTGAATTATTTGAGTGGACTAAACCTGTGGAGTGACTTATGCACATCTGTTTTGCAATATCACAGCGACCTCTATAGGCAGGCAATATATTGCTTAAGCTTGAAACAGCTTTTACCCTCCAAAGAGCTATAAATCACAAATACTTGTACTATAACTGCATTATCACACACAATGCAATATACTTTACAGTTTGATTTAAACCCATTGCACCTAACTGCATTATGCTATCTCAAATTCTAGAGGAATACAAATAGCCAAACTAGAAATCCCTTTATTTATGGGAATATTGTGACACTGAGTTCACATAAAATATTATAAGAAAAATATGGTTATTTTTCGTTAGGGGCCAAAATCATCTTTCATTTCCAAACAGTAATCTGCAATAAATAATTTGCTGTTTCGAGTTGCAATATTATTACATCTTGAAAAGACTGCATAGCTTCCAAATTAAGTCATTACAAATAATTCCACAAGTCTTTAAAACATTACAGCAAAGTGCAAAAGAGCAAAAGCGACTTTTGTGAGTGAGTTTTTTTTTTTTCTTTTTTCTTTTTCTAGCAAATGCTCGGTAATCGTTGACTAGACCATATCTGTGTGACAGAGGGGGGACGTCTATGCGCATAAATCTGTGTCACTTAAATGGCCATTCGCTAAACAGTCACGCAGTGGAGGAAAAATTAACAAAGGTCACTGAAGGTTTGGGTGACCGGAGCGGGGTCAGTCTGCAAATACACCGTAATATGCAAATAGAAAATAGGCTTCAAGAGCAACCAACACGAGGTAAAGAATATTCACAATGATCTTACTGTAATAGTCCAAGGAGGACGTTTTAATATGTCTGTGTCAATATTAACTTAACAGTCACCTTTCTGGTCCCCTCTCATTTTCTCTAGCACTAACCCAATTGTTGTAAAATATTGCAACGTGTAGACATAAAAAGTGATCCACCCCCAGTCATTAGCTCGGTCGGTCGGTCGAAATTAGAACATTATTAAGCCATGTGAAGCCCTAACTGACTCTTGTCAATTTCACTTACAAACCCGTGCTTTGGCAATAATGATTCTAATATTGCGGCTGAAAAGACAGGTGTGTGAATTTCATATTCCCCTCCCTCCCTCCGCACTCCATTTGCACATCATGAGCTGGCTTTTGGGGGTAAAATTAAATAACCTCTCGGTGTCCCATTTATTTCTTTTGTACTGAAACAGCGTGAGGTTAGCACAAAGGCGTTAGCTGCAGGCCATAATATTGTGTTTCCATAATATATACAAAATTATTCATTTAGTGAGTGGATGTACAGTGGATTGTCTAATGGGTAATGAGCATAGTTGGAGCTGATAATTAGGCTGTCACTTCCAGCCATTTCTTCCCCGCATGCCCTGGGCCACGATGCAGGGGAGGAAAAGAAAATAAAGACCATGAAATTAAAAAAAAAGAACAGCAGATAAATGAATTAAATGTAAATATAGAGTTAAAGAAAAACGCTCCTTGGGATTACAGAGGTAAATATATAATACTATCTTTTTTAAAACACTCCAGCCATTGTTAGTAAATAATGCTTACATTATGGTAATTTCATTAGAATGGTTTTATTGATAAGATTTTTCAAATTAATAATTACCATACATTATATCATAAATCCATTTACTCATTATTGACAAAAAAAACAGAGAGTTGGTTGGCTGTTTTTTAAAGAAAGAAAGAAAGAAACTCATCAAAACTATTTCCAGCAAAAGGCTTTCAAAGGTAGAAGAGGTTCTGCTATTTTCATCTGAGGACTGAGTGCTAGAACCTACTCGGGAGATATGTAAATTGCAGCTCATGCAAAGACAATAAGTTGTTGACCCTAAAACAATTTAGCATTCTGTCGCAGGCTGTGGCCCCCCATAATACCACAGTCTTTTGTTGGCGAACAAGGACCATCTCCCCCTGCAACTGAGACGTGTCACACTGTGGCAATCCATTCATTTTAGTGGTGAATTGTGCATTGTGACAGTTTGTGTGTGTGTGAGTGTGTGTGCATGCGCGTGTGTGTAACAGGGAGAGTGAGTGGGAGAGAGGTGACTGCATGGGGAGGAAAGTTTATCACTGTCTTGTCTTTTTTGGCAGAAGCAGGCTATTCTTACAACAGACTCGACCCCTTGTAGTCCAACAGCACAAATGTCTTTGCCTCTTCCTATCCCTTCACCCTCCTCTTCCAACCCCCGCTTTCCCTTCAACATCTCCGTTGTCTTATTCTCAAAGATGCCCGCCCATATCTGCGCCCCTCTAATCCATTTATCTAGCTTCATAAGTGCAACACTGGTCCAACGATGACACAAAAGCTGTCCCCTGGCCCCAGCTAGGGGAAACACACAACAACAAGCAACAACAAGTCACTGGAGCCCGGCAGCAGAAGCCACAGCGGGGCCACCATCGAACCCTGCTACACCACGTTTAGCTGACTACTTTGCTCCTGCTCCCTTGTTTCAGCGACACAATGCCAGTGAAAGGGACGGATGTCTTGGTCACAGGCTTTTCATTCCAGGAGTGATAGGCTGCTGTAAGACACGATTTCTTGCCACAGGAAGAGGTTGGAGGATTCGGTTTGGAAAAGGGAAAACGGAGGGAGGGTGGCTCTCGGCACGGCTACACTCAAACACAAATAGCAACAAGGAACTGGTACTTGCCTGACAACTGGCTGGCTGACTGACTCGCTGCCGGTTCAGCAGCAACTCACAACAACTCAACAACCCATGCAAACCCCTGCTGACACAAAAACCTGGCCTGGCTTATAGATATACTAGAAATAAACACGGTCTCTCGCTCATGTTTGCCTGGTTTTCTTTCATTTGGCCACTCAAAGCGACATTCTCATGTTTTGATCGGGCAAGAAAGGGAGGAAGAGATAACAAAGCGAGGCAGGGAGAGCAGTCGAGTAAAGTTTTTCTCTGTCTCACTTGAACATTCTTTCCGACTCTGAGTGAAGAACACAGAAAAGCTCTTTCACTCCTCTACGATGAGGACAATATGCTTATTTGGATCTCAGTCAAAGCGCTGTGCCAAATATTGGGGCACTAATTAGCTGGCCTAATCTAGAAATATTATCCTCAAATCTGATATATCCTAGTTGAAATGCTCTATTTTAAGAGACCTCGGCTGAACATGGAGGTTCATTATTATCTTCTTGTTTGCTACATGTTTGTTGATCAAAGTTATTTCCATGTGTCTGTTGTTGTTTAAAGGGCATTGACAGGGTCCAATATACACACATAAGCGCTTTTGTTCAGACACACACACACTTGTACTCAAGTTGCGCTTCTGTTCCATTAATGACTCCACAAACCAATTAAAGCTGGTCTGTCTTGAGTTCTCCTGAAGTATCCGTACATAGCAGCTCCACCAGAACAGAACTATATTTAGGGGAGAATGCCTTGTGACCCCCCCCCCCCTCTCCACACACACACACACACACACACACACAACACACACACTTCAACCTACCTCTCTCTATCTCGAACACACAGAGGCACGAGTACGCGTGTACACATTCCTGGTACAGTCTGTTGGAGGATCAGAATTTTTTTGCCTTAATTATCCTTCAGTATGGATCATGTTCTTCAGGAGGGACTAGTAATGATGGGGGTATTTATAGTCATTCATTCTCTCCCTGTAATTATACACTCCTCAAAATTGGGGTTTTTACATTTGGCATGTGCTTGGAAACGTAAATTAGACAGACAGCACTGTTGTTGAGCTCTCTTTGAAGTGAATCCCCTCCCCAAACACAATTTGATGGAAAGTTTTATTCTCTGCCATACTACTTCTCTTCGTTTGCTTCCCGGCGCTAGTTGAACAGTGTTTCTTCAGTCACGATGTAGTATCGGTTCAGTTTGACAATATATATGTTGCACCAATTTCCCAGCAGCAAAAGGAATTTACATTTGCAAAATGTTGTATGCAACAGATGACCGGCTTTTGACAGGAAGATGTCAGAAATTATTGTTTTTATGGCCTTCAAAATTAGAGCAATAAAAAAAAGGAAAACAGTAAGCCACCAGTACCAGTGTTTACATTCCGGTG